ACACACCATGCGAGGCTAGACCACACCATACCATACTACACCAGCACACCACACAAGCACAAGCATGCCACTACCACACTACCGCGCGAGGAGCCCGCAGGTTGGCTACACGCAGGAGACTGTACTACAATCCACGCGAGGCTAGACCACACCATACCATACTACACCAGCACACCACACAAGCACAAGCACGCCACTACTACACTACCGCGCGAGGAGCCCGCAGGTTGGCTACACGCAGGAGACCGCACCCACCATGCTAGACTAGCCTATTCCGTGACTGTGCTACACCAGCACACCACACAAGCACAAGCACGCCACTACCACACTACCGCGCGACGAGCCCGCAGGTTGGCTACACGCAGGAGACCGCACCCACCATGCTAGACTAGCCTATTCCGTGACTGTGCTACACCAGCATACCACACCACACAGAGCATCACCTGTACCATACTGCCGCGCGACGAGCCCGCAGGTTGGCTACACGCAGTCACTGAACTTTCTCGCGGCGTTCCTGCTGCTGCAGCTGCCGGCGAGGGTGGAGGGGGGCCTGGGCCGCGAGGAGGCGGCCTTGCGTGCCCGAGATGACCCGAGATTACGTGAGATTACCCGAGATTGCCCGGAGCTTTGGCCGGGAGGAGGCGGCCTTGCCTTGGGAGAGATGGGGAGAGATGGGGAGAGATGGGGAGATATGGGATGATATGGGGAGATCATATCTCCCGCAGGAAGAGGCGGCCTAGCCTTGGCCCCTCGAGCGCGTCCTCGAGCTGCGGGAGATATGGGGAGATATGGGGACGGCGCCTCTCCGCAGCTCCGACGTGCGCACAGGCGGCCTTTTGGCTGCTAGAGTGCGTGATCTGCCCCTCTCTTCTCCCCATCTCTCCAGGCGGCCTTTTGGCTGCTCGAGTGCGTGATCTGCCCCTCTCTTCTCCCCATCTCTCCAGGCGGCCTTTTGGCTGCTCGAGTGCGTGATCGAGCGGCTGCTGCCGTCGTACTTCACGGCGCAGCTGACTGGCGTGCTCGCCGACACGCGCACGCTCGACGCTCTCGTGGCGTCGCACCCGCAGCTGCACGCGCTGCCGCCGCACCTCGAGTCGCTCGGCCTCGACCTCTCCCTCGTCTCGACACAGTGGCTCATGCTCGGCTTTGTCACCGCGCTGCCCTCCGAGACGGCGCCGCTGCGCCTCTGGGGCGTCGGCGAGTGGCTGGTGCAAACGGGGCGGCTCGTGAGACGCCGTGCATGGACGTAGGCGCTGCGCGTGTGGGACCGCACCCCTAGAAGCGGAAACACGGGCTCCGCTCTCCCAGCCAGCGCTCGAGAGGACACGCACTCCGCCGTGCTCGGCCGTCTTCCGCCGTGGCCACAGTATTCGCAGCCCCCTCGTACTCACGCGGTGCCACGAGGTCAGTCAGTCAGTGTGTACACACCTCCTAGCATGGAGGACGGGCCCACACGCACACACACACGCTGCACACGATTGGCTCGGGGGCCGACACGAGGCACGCTGTCACCGGCCGTAGCACCGGGTCCGGACTGCTGGACACACAGCACACAGCTCACACCAGGACAGCTCACGAGGTGGCGCCCCGAAGACACCGCACAAATGCCCGGCTTCCCGCCCCCGACGGTGGCGTGTCCAGCCCCACACTTAGGACCTCTTCCTCTCGCTGGGTGTGCGCGCGCTCTTCGCCGCCGCCCTCGCCACCCTGCGGCTGCTGCGAGCCACCCTCCTTGCGGCGACGTCTTTCGAGGTGTGCTATGCTGTACGTGGTGTCTATACGGCTAGCT